ACGGGGTGAGATACAGTCCCCCCGCCCAGCCCCCGCTCTGCCCCCCAGTCCATCCAGCCCAGCTCCCGCTCTGCCCCCCAGTCCCTCCAGCCCAGCCTAGAGCCCGCTCTGCCCCCCAGTCGCCCCAGCCCAGCCTCCCGCTCTGCCCCCGGCCTATATCCACCCTCCGGCTCCGCCCCCCAGCCCAGCCCTCCTCTCTGCCCCCCACTCTGCTCCCCAGTCCCCCATCCCAGCCCCCCGCTCTGCCCCCCACTGTGCTCCCCAGTCCCCCTGTTCTTCCCCCCAGCCCAGCCCCCGCTCTGCTCTGCAGCCCACCCTGGCCCGGCCCCCGCTCACGTGGCCATGGCGCAGCATGGGGGGCTCCTCGCCGGGGAACAGCACCCGCAGGGCGTACGTCCGATAGTCCAGGAACGGGATCTTCACCCCGTCCAAGTTGTTCGTCAGCTCGTTGATGTCGGTCTGCAGCTCTGCAAAGGCTGGGGGAGGGCGGGAGGGTCAGGGGGGGACACCCGACCCTGCCCTTCTCCCGTGCAGGGGCAACCGCTCGCCCCCCATCCCAACGTCTCCTGCCCCCCAACTCAGCACCTGCCTAGCACCACAGCAGGACCCCCCAGCCCCACCCTCCCTGTGCTCCTGACCCCCAGCCCAGCCCCCTCATCTTAGCCCCCTCTGCCCAGAGCCCCAGCCCCTCTCCCAGTCCCCCCTTCCTCCCAATCCATACCCAGGGACCCCTCTGCCTCCATCCCTCCCCACCCCAGCATGCGTCCCCCTCCTTCCCTGCACTCCAGCCCCCCAGTCCAACCCCCCAGCCCCCCACTCTCCCTGCGCTTCAACACCCCTGTCCAACCCCCTCTCTGCTCTCCTGCCCCCCTCCCCGCCCCCCAGCCTCACCCTCCTTGCACCTCCAGACCCCCAGTCTAACCTCCCCAGGCCCGCCACTCTCCCTGTGCTTCAACCTCCCAGTCCAACCCCCTCTCTGCGCTCCTGCCCCCCCTCCTCACCCCCAACCTCACCCTCCCTGCACTCCAGCCCCCCAGTCCAACCCCCCAGCCCTCCCCACTCTCCCTGCACTTCAACCCCCCAGTCCAACCCCCTCTCTGCGCTCCTGCCCCCCAGCCTCACCCTCCTTGCACTCCAGCGCGACCCGTGACTCCAGATTGTCCATCTGCAGTTGCAGCCGCTTGAGGGTCCGGTCGGCGTCGCGGGTCTTTCGCTTGTAGGCAACCAGCACCCCGATAATGGCAAGGAGCAGCAGGGACCCCCCCACGCCCAGCCCCACCAGCGCCCCCAGGGGCAGGGCCGCCTCGGGGTAGATGTGCAGGGAGCCGGGAGAGAAGGACAGGCCCCCCACCAGGATCTGGAACGAGGGGAGGGAGCGGAGGTTAGATGGGGGGCGCCCCCCAACTTCCCAGGAACAACCCCCCCAGAATGTGGGACAGGAGAATTGGGGGCACCTCCCCCCACATTTTGCCCCCCCCAGATCTGCAATGGGGGGTACAAATTCCCCCCTGGATCTGATGAGACAACTCCCTCCCAGCCCCCCCACTCAATCTGTCCCCCTCGAACGCACTCCACATATGTAACCTCCCCCCAGAGCTCCCCAAGAGGGACTGCTCACCCCCCCAGCCCCCGTGATCTCTGATCCACCCCGTGTCCCGCCCCCACACCACAGAGCAAGGGGCTGCCCCCGCCACAGAACACGTGCCCCCAACCCCACCCCCTGGGGGAGCCCCTGGCCGTGCCCCCCTTCCCCCCAGCAACGCACCGTGACTGGCTGCTCCCCTGTCTGGCTGGGCGAGTCACAGAGCAGCTGGGTCTCTGACACCGTCAGGGCGCAGGGCTCCCCCCCAATCAGCACGGTGTAGTTCAGACGGGCCCCCCCAGCGGCCGCCGGGATCAGGTTCCTGCCCTGGGGGGTGGGACAGTGAAAGGGGGAGGGAGATTGGACCCAGCGTCCGGGCCAGACAGAGCACCAGTGGTGCCCCTCACTCCTGATCCGCAGCCCCCTGCTAGCCCAGCCCTGCCCCCCCCCCAGCCCTGCCGGTGTCCCTCACTCCCGACCCGTAGCCCCCTGCTAGACCAGCCCTGGGTTCCCCACCCCACCAGCCCTGCTGGTGCCCCTCACTCCTGACCCGCAGCCCTGCTAAGCCCCCCTTCCCCCCATACCTTGAGGACAATGTGGGAGCCGGGTTTCACCTCCAGCACCCCCGCAGGGCCGAAGGGCTCGACCTGGGGGTCGGGGTAGTAGGTGAAGGCCGAGCGGTTGAGGGTTCGAGCCGCCTGGACGTGGTCCAGCAGGAAGCCGAATTCGTCAGGGGAGGCCCCCCCCGCAGGCAGCTCCCGCCCCCCCGGCACAATGCCGGGCGCCTGGCACAGCATGAGGGAGTCATTCAGCACCCGGCAGCTCTGGGGGGAGGCAGAGGGTCAGTGGAGATGGTTGGGAACGGGGGTGGGGGGTGACAGGACTCCAGGGGGGTCAGCGTGTTGGGTGGTTCAGCAACCCAGCAGGGGCGGCCAGGAATGGGGGGGGGGCAGCATGTCGGGGGATTCCGTGGGGTACAAGCTGGGGGAGTCTGATCGGGGGGGGCAGCAGGGAGAAGTTTTGGGTCTGTCAGTTCGGGTGGGAAGGGGGGTGGATTGCAGGAAACTGTCCCGTCCCCCCCCGAAACTGTCCCCACTTCCCCCCACCCCACTCAGATCCCCCGTCCCCAACTGACGGACCCCCCGCCACCTCCCCTTCCCCCCACCCCACTCAGATCCCCCGTCCCCAGCGGACGGGCCCCACGCCGCGTCCCCTTCCCCTCATCCCGGCCCCCCGCCCTCGCTCCCCCCGGCCATGGGGGCATGACTCACGTTGACGGTTTCGACGCCCCCGTACAGGGCTCGGACACGCGGCTCCTGGATGCTCAGCAGGCGGGTCCCAGTCACTGTCAGGCTGGTGCTGCCGCTGGAGGGGGGGGGGAGACGTCAGCCCCCCAGGGGGACGCAGCTTGGTGGGGGGTGAGGGCTGGCATGGGGGGGTGGCCCTTTGGCCATCGGGCCATGTCCTTCCCCCGCGCCACAGCTACTCTCTGCCCTGCCCCCCCACGGCTACCCTGCGCCCTGCTCGGATGCCGGGGATCCCGCCCAGCCCGGCTCAGTGCCAGCACTGGGATGCTCATCCCAGGCCAAACGCCGGGTCCCAGCCAGGCTGGGGCCGGAGGCTGCGGGGCTGAGACGAAGTGGAACTGTTCGTAATGGTTTCTCTGAATACTGTGTGGGTGCCTCAGTTTCCCCTATGCAGTTCTTAATCTAGCTGGTGGGATCAGGGGGTGGGATTGGTGCAGAGCCCTGGGGGCCTGTCTCCTGGGCCCCCCCCCGCAAGGTGCCAGCTGAAGGTGCTGGAGAACAAAGGGATCAGGAGGGGACAAAGGCCAGAGGAGGGGTCGGGGGGGCTGGAGAGTTTCAGTTTGGAGCTGACTGGAGAAGGGGAGGGAGCCCCAGGGCTGGGGTCTAAGCTCCCTGCCCCCCAAGATGGACCTGACTGAGGGGTCCTGTTGTCTGTCCCTACAAGCTCTGGTTTAGACTGTTCCTGTCATCTAATAAACCTCTGTGTCCCCGGCGGGCTGAGAGTCACAACTGACTGTGGAGTAGGGGGTTAGGACCCCCTGGCCGTCTCAGGACCCCGCCCGGGCAACTCGCTGTGGGGGCGCACGGAGGGGCATATGCTGAATGCTCCGAGGAGAGACCCAGGAGGTGAAGCCGTGTGAGCTTCTCACTCTGGAGACAGTCTGCTCCGAGAGAGGAGACTCCCCCAGAGTCCTGGCTGGCTGCGTAGGGAGCAGGTCCAGAGCATCGCCCGGGGACCCTGTGACGGGGGGACTGGTCTGCGCCGGCGGGCAGGTTCTGCAGCTCGTCCCCCTGGCTGAGCAGGGCCCCGTGGGGAGCAGAGCCCGGGTGTGGGGTGAATGGAACAACATGGCCTGAGGCGACGGCCCAGGACCAGAACTGGGACCAAAACCGGGACCGAACGGAGCCCCCTGGCCCCACCTATGGTGCACCCCGCTGGCCACGGGCTATGTGAACCTATTTCACAGCAGGCCGGGAGTGTGGGGAGGGGGACGGGGTGCAGGGAGGCACCGGGGCGGGGGGGTTGGCAGGGGTGTGGGGGTGAGGGGGCTGGGAGTATGGGGATGTGGAGGGGGATGGGGCACAGGGGGGCAGGTGGGCGCAGCTGGGGGGGTCAGCAGGGGGCTGTGTGGGGGTGAGGGGGATGGGGCACAGGAGGGGGGGCAGTGGGGGTCTCTTACTTGACGATGCTCCATTGGGGCTCGATGTGGGTCACCACCGGATCGGGGGTATAGCGGAAGATCAGGATGGGGGGGCTGGCGGTGCCATTGGGAGGCTCAGGGGGGGCCAGGCTGGCACGGTCGATGCAGACACTGAGGGGGGCTGGACCAGGGCCCAGCGTGGACGGGGGGGTCATGCAGACGATTTCCTCAGGCCCCCTCCTACCGGTAAAGGGAAAGTGAGAGACCCCCACAAATTCCCCACTGCCTCACATCTCCCCAGTGAGCCCTGACCTACCCACCCCCCTCCCAACATCCCCCGCCACACCCAACCCGCCCCATCTCTCTGCTCCCCCACCCCCTCATCCATACCCCCCACCCCCATCTCTCTGCTCCCCCCACCCCGGCCCCCCCAGTACCTGAGCAGCTGGCAGGGTGCCCCCTGCAATGAGATGTTGACGCTGCTGCCGGCGTCCAGATGGGTCCCAGTGAGGGTGACGCGGGTCCCCCCTGACACCGGCCCTCCCCCAGGGTTCAGTCCCCGCAGCCTGGGGGTCTGGGGCGGGAGACAGCAGTTATGGGGGTAAATGCACACAGAGCCCCCCTCCCCTCCCCTCCCACCCCCCACAG